CTAGTCCGTCGACGAGCAGAGAGGGCGGGGCGGGGCGGGGCGGGGCGGGGACGCTGGATGGAGGACGTTCGAGGACAAAGTGTGCCCTGCGTTGTGACTCATTTGCGGGGCGGCTACCGCGCGAGGCGGAGTCCGTAGACAGCTTTCTTCCGTGTGCGTATCAGCATAGCTTGTTGCGGCGAGAACGACAGAGAGAAAGGAAAAGACAGCAACTAGCAACGAGGAAGAACCAAACCTGAGTTGACACGGCCCCGGGCCAGCAGCCTGTTTAACCTTGTTCCTGATCGGCAAACAGAGCGCGGAATAATATCACCGTCTCATGCTAGCGCCTTCGATCCAGCACGATATAACCGCGAAATGATGTCCAGCAGATGTATTAGAGAGCGACGTAGTAAGTGTGATATACAACACATGCACTATTGATACAGCAATGCAATGCAAACCTCGAACGATAATGTTATAGCTACACCAGAGCCTCAAGCAATGCTTCAGCATCGTTGCTCAACAACAGATGCGCTTTAGATCAAGTCGTCGTGTCGTAAATGGTCGTACAGGAACTCATGCGACTGTGAAGCTGATGATAGGAACCAGTCAGAACACGCCTTCAAGATCTCTGAGAAGAGAGCAACTCACTAGACCATGTCGTCCAACGCGCCATGCTGCGCAACAGCGACCAGAACTGGCTGGTGGTTTGCCGCAGCGTTGATAGAGGCCATGCGGTACACGCCCGCAGGCAGGCCCCCAGTCACGACTGTCGAGAGCGTCCCGTTGACCGCAACATCGTTGAGGCCCTTGAAGAACGCGAACGTGCCGGGGCTGGTCGGCGTCGTCTGGTTGAGCGCCTGAAGTTTCTCGATGACAACGTGCGAGTGGCCCTGGATGTCGCCCGTAGTGTCGTTCACCGTCTGGGGCGCAGCGAAGAAGTTCGTCGCCGGGTTGACAAAGTGTCCGGTCTGCAGGTGCGAGACCGCGAGCACGACGGTGAAGTTCTGGTTCGCGGGGACCGTGTCCATGTTTGCAGGATACACCCACTTGGCGGAAGGCATGTTATTCGTCCCCGCGATCACTCCCATCGGCGCGGCGTTGCAGGAGCCGTTGGCGGCCTGTGTGCCGTTTGTGAGCGGCTTGTTGACCGTCGCACAGAAATTGATGAAGTTGTTCGAGGACGTCGCGGAGGCGATCTCTCCGGCCTCGGGGCTGAACCTATCAGTAGTACCGTCAGCCTAACCCTTGTAGATCTACTTGATCGGCACCACTTACTCGTTTGTGCCGTTGTCCTCGAAGCCGGTGTTAATGAGAGAGCTGAGGAGCGTCAGCGACGATTGGGCAGCAGTGTTGTTCGACGCGCTCGTGGTTCCGGATGAGGTCGTACCCGTTGACGTGATCGAGGTCGAAGCGGCAGCGGCAGCACTCGCAGTCGCGGTGGCTGAGCATGAGGAAACCGATGCAGATGCGGACGCAGATGCAGATGCAGACGCGACCGAAGACGAAGTCGAATTGGCAGCGCTGGTGGCACCAGTGGCAGCGATGCGAGACTGCACATCAGCCTCGGTCGCGCAAGTGATACTTGTGCCCGCCGAGTTGACAAGAGGCAAAGCAGCGCAACTAGGATAAAATAGCGATGAGCACAAGCCAAGCGGGTGGAAGGGGGGAAACTCACGTCAGGCCAGACCCACATGACTGGAGAACATATTTCCCGCCGACGCACTGTGCAAACTCTCCGTTGACACACGCGTTCGATCCGGTCGTACACGTCGAGTTGGTGGTCAGGGTCTTGAATTGGTTGCTGCGCCAGAGTTAGTGAAGATCGCATCGTGAGCCACGGCCAATGTGCTCACTTCAAGGCGATGGCGTCTTCGCCGTTTTGTAGTAAGAAACTGCTGCTACGAGCGATGTATCTCGGGCGGGCATGAGCAGCGGAGAAGAGAGCGGCAGCAGCAAAGACAGTGGAGAACTTCATGCTGAAAGCGTCGTAATGGATGATCTAAAATCTAGTGGTTGTTGATGAGGGCGCTGGGATGACACCGGGTCGAGATGGAAACAGTGGAGGAGACTGGGAGAAGATGAATGCAGCCGCAGGCTGGAAGCAAGGGAATGGAAGAGGACAAGTCCTGAGAGGAGGAGAGGAATGGAGGGAAAGGACGGAGGCAGACATGTTTTATACGCTGGGAGCTTGGCCGCACGGAAGAATCTGAACAAAGGCAGCTGTGGCCGAGCGCAGGGACGCAAAAGCCGGCACAAGCAAGTCGGACAATCCACAGGCCAAAGTTAATTGTCCTCTTCCATTTTCGGACAATGACCTCTGTCACGTGCACCAGGCGCGCACGGCCACTTTTGTTTTGCCACAAGCGTGATGCCGTCGCTACGGAAACGGCCGAACAGGGCGCGCAAACAACTCTCACTCGGTGTTTGCTTTGCCTCCATCCACTCTGCCACCGTTTCCTCGGAATGTCATGCCCATATGCTTCCTGCTATTATTACCGTCGGCATGATTCGAAGACCCTTTCAAACGGATGCCGCTATTCATTGGCAATGTCGTGTCGCCATCTGGGGCTATGATCCAGCAACTTATTGTTCTGCCTGTTACGCTTTGAGTTTACTTCTCGGGGAACTCGGAAATCTCAGTAACTTTCTCGGGCCCTTGTGCTTCTCATCCTTCCATTCTAGCTGCAACATGGTGCATTTTCATAAACATGAGTGGGGTAATTGGTGTGCTATGGTCTGCGCGATATTCCTCAAAGTAAGCAGTCTAGATCTAATGCGAATCTGCGGATGGTCTCCAGCATCTAAATGCTCCTCTAACGAACGTCCGTCGCAGCGATGTGACGAGCGGCACGTCTCCGGCGAGGCAGACAACGCAGAGTAACGCAACTCCACATAGTCCCACAGCAAGGAGACAAATGGCCGTCCAGCCGTTGGTCAAGCGGTCGTACATCTGCGATCATGTTAGGTGCAGCTCACGCATAGATATCCAAATGATGTACTTGACCGCCAATGATAGGGCCCACTATATCTAGAATCAGTACAATATGGATGAACGTAACTATAGCGAACGCACCGGCTGAGCCTAGCCCGTAAGCCAGATTGAACGCCCCGTAGACATGCGCAACTGGGTAGAAAGGCTCTATCAGCCTCGTCGCCAAATGTGTTGCTGAATGTCACTCACGGCCGACTCCGTCCAGTCGTCTTGAAACACTCGCAAGCTCTGTGCTGACTACGGGCACCATTCCTGTGACACCGAAGTCTAGGTACGCACACACGCAGAGGTCAGAGCCAACGGATTACGTGCCAGGCTCCAGGAGATCACTTACATGCCAGCGCGAGAACGACAATGAAGAACGCGAGCGATTTATGTATGGAGAGAAGGACAAACCAGGGAATGGCAAAGGAGAGGGAGATGGCTCCGACAATGCCCGGCCCCTTCTTGTCTACCAACCAGCCTGCGAGCATGCTCGCTTCACGTACCAGCCGCATTTTTATGTGAGATGAACCGTGCGTTATCGTCGTCGGATGCATGCTTACAGAAAACAGTGGGTATGACCGCTGCGATATACACGAGGCCCACTTTTGAAGCGTTGAAGTTCCAGACAGCCTGCAAGTATAGCGGTAAGGAAGGCTCCTGGCTACTGATGATGACCCTAGTAACGTCGACGCCATCATTCCCGCATGAGCATGCATATCGTACAGAAGTAGTTGCATGGCACACCCGTAAATCAACGTTCCGATGCATGCTGCCCACGCTCTGGAGGATCTGAGGAGCTTCCCTAGCATTGCTATGAGGGATATCCGATGGGGTACAGCTGGGCTTTCTGAGACGGGGGTAACGGCATGTTCAAGACCTCCTTTCTCTGTATCAGGTGTTTCCTCTTTGGAAGATGACGGTGGAGCAGCATCTGCGACCGCTTCTACGACCGCCTCGGGGCTGACGGACGGCGCGGCCGGATCAATCCCCCACCGTAGTGCGTGTTTGCGTTCGATAATCAGCAGCCGACCAACCAGGTCGATCATGGTGAGTATGATACCGAAGATGAAAGGGCTGCGGAATCCAAAGGCAGAGTACAGCTCTCCGGAGACAGGCGGCCCAACGATGGATCTACATGACATTGTCTAATTAAATCCAAATCGTTGAAGCATAGCCCATACCCAATAGATGCGCCGCTCATGGCAATCCCCAGTTGCCCTGATAATATCATTCGATTGAGTCCGCATAGCAGTGCGACGAAAAGAGTACTGACGCCCAACCGAACTCTCAGGTGCCGTGTCGCAGCTATTGCAGACATAAGGAATTCCTGTGAAAATGCAGAAGAGAATGTGTTCGGGATAGACTTACATCAGTGCTAGGCCTGCTACCCATATGATGGACGAGCTGAAGCCCTGGAACACGCGTGCGAGGATCATCAGCCAGTACTTTGACGCCTCCATCAGGAGGATTTGCGCTCCGACGATACCTAGCTGTCCGCACAGTAGGGGGATCTGCCTATTGTTGAACCGCTCGGATAGCACGGCAATCGGAGGAGTAACTGAAGGGCGGCCACGGATCGTCTCAGTGTTTGGCACGGACGATGCAGCTCAACTCACATGCAACGATACCGGCGGACTGCATATGCCTGGGTCAGTGATGCGGGTGAAGACAAAGCAATGTCGTACATAGGCGAAGAGGAGCCATCCGACAAGGCCCGAGACGTCAGAATAGCCTAGATGTTCAAGCTGGAACGGCATGATGGGTATGATGACGGAGTATATCACCAGGTCCGTCGTGATCCCTGAATAGCGGGATCAGAGCAAAGTGCGCAAAATGTGTTAGGTGCAAGGCTGGTGCGGCACAGCCTGGACTCACCCAGCCAGATGACTGCGGCGTAGTGAAAACAGTTGCTCAGCCTATGCTGCTCGATTGTACGGCTCCTAGAAAACATACCAAAAGTGACGAACCAGGACGAGCATCTCCAGTGGATTCCCCAAGGCAAGGGTTGCTGCTCCTTTGGGCTCCTGTCGTCTGACGTCGAAGCCATCCCTTGGCCTTCAATGTCAACTTGTTGGTCCGACATGCGATCGAGCCTGTCGAAGAGTCACGTTGTGCGTCTCTACTATGGTTGGGTAGTAAGAAACCAGTGAGGAGTCGGCAGGAGGGGTTGCATATGAGAGCCCTAGTATCATATTGAGATGGAGCGGAGCCGGGACTCCTATTGGCCAAGTTCTGACTCGTCCGAGTCGGATTCCAACTTGTTCACGCTCAGGCCGCCTCAGCGCCTGCTGCCCCGATCGGCCAACTGTAGCCGCACCGCGAAGTTCGAACTCGTGCCAGTGATCGAGGAGGACAACCAATGATATCGACTGCCCGGGGGGTCAATCTCATTTCTCGGCCGAAGAATAACAGCCTGGATCTCACAGCTCCTAGCACGGATCGGCTTGGGTCAGAAAAACAACATCGTGAGCCCCTCAAACCCATAACCTTCCGATGTCGAAAGAACTTGCTCAAGCCAGACAAATGCGAGCATGGGTTTGTCGTGCCACACTATAGAGTGGGGTGATTTTGCCCATCTCGTTGGCAAACGTGACTCACACATTGCGAGAGACACTAAGACGTACACCACTGTGTTCGCAGCCATCAGCGATCTGGCAAAGAGCTATGGCACGCAAGGACACACAGTCTGTCCAGTGAGAATCTCTATAGCCTCGTCACAGACCAAACCAACACCCCAGACCACGCTCCGTCCTCGCCTGTAGGCGTCTCCTCTTCGTGCTGCTTAGACTTTCTCAAATGCGCTTCTACCTTTACCGTGCCTTTGGGAAAGACGACACCGTCCCAGAGGTCTACCCACGTCTCAGGAGAGTGGCAGAACATGGGCTCCGTGCGCCACGCGTTCTTGACGGCACGGTGGCCCTTGATCGAGCGGCCGGCGTGCGAGCCAAAGAGCATTGCACCCGGCGTCGGCGCGAGGAGCCCTGCAAGGTTGCGCGCGAGCTCCAGCTGCCGTG